ACTCCTTGATTCGGGCAATGTAACTTATAGGTGTTTAAAGAATCAGCATTACTTGCCTTGGAAAAGGACAAGAACCTTGAATTTAAGAACTAGCTGAGAAGAATTGCTGTCCAGTGTGATTTACTTGCATATAGGTCTCATGTAACTATTTTATAATTCCATTCCAATCACCAGTTATATCTGTGTTCTTATCGGATCGGCGACCCAAAGAACTTTTTTCATTTTTGGTATGTAGGGAAAAGGAAAGGATTTTTTTTTCTTTTTTTTTTGGGGTTTGGGGGTGGAGTTGTGGGGGGCATGAAACTGACTGATTCTATACAGAAAGGATGAAGGCTCAATGCAAGGGCAGTTCGGCTCTAGTACCCTCTGATCAGAGGCTGCTAGGGACTGCCGTAAGTTTAGATATGAGTGGAGATAATTTTATGAAAAAAGATGTCATGCTAAGAAAAGGAGTAAGTATTATTTTATTTCAATTACAGGGCAACTAGCTAAATTCCCTTAGCGTAAGGAGGATATTCACAAGTATCTCAAACAGAAAGGGAAAACTGAGTACTGCATGTAAGCAGGTAAAAAAACAAACCTATAGCATGGATCACGAAATAGCATAGGGCATAATTACATACAATTAGCACCATTTCCCTACCAAACTACATGGATATTCCATAACCTCCTCAGAGTATCTGGGTAAAATAAAACGAGAAATTCGAAAACTACAAATAATAACACTGCAACAGTCCCAACTCATACCGCACCAAAGGTATTAGTTCGAGGGCGAAGGTGAGCTTTCGTCCTCAAAAATTCTCTGCTGACCCTTTTCTTCTGGATAGGGAAAGAAGGATCGCTTTTACCAACCTGTGAGGAAACAAGTACGAGCAAGCATAGTGATTAAATGACCAGTACATAATGTACAAATACAACAGCAATGCTGATTAGATTAGTTATAGCAAAAATCGATAAGCTTATTCGTAACAGAGAATATTTGTAATTACGTGCATCATTCCTGTTGGCATTTACTCAGTTTTCAGTTGGTCTTGTGCTTCTCATTTCCTCTCTTTACAAATCACTAAGTCAAGAATCCTGAGTCGAAGGTAGTTGCTCTTAGGTTCAAGGCTAATTTTTTGGATAAAGGCATTCAAGGCTAGTTATCAAAAGAAGAAAAATATAACTTCAGTGTTAAGGATGTGTAAGCATGCTCGTAAATTAAGCAATAGAAAATTGATGAAATAGGTTAAAATCAATTACCACTACAAGCTTCTGAACCTTCAACTCTATTTTCTGCTTTGATCCTTGACTGCCGACCACAGTACCTTCTATCCATACTGATGCACCAGTTGAAATTGAGCCATTGTCTACCTGTAAGAAAAGCATCAGACAAAGTTAACGTAGATAAGAGACGAGAGGCCAAACAACTCAAATAACCCATGAAATTAAAGTCTATAAGTTTTCTTACATCAGAGGGACATTGTTCGAAATTGGAGCCTTAAAAAAACTATCAATAATGTTGGAGCCTTAAAAGATATATTCTCATGTAAGAAGCATCTTCCAAAGAAAGAAGAAAGAGAAAGAAAGGATCTTAAGAAAAGAAGAAAAAAGTTACATCCATGTTTTTTTTTCATGAATCTCAAAGTTTTACTATCCCCTAGGTGCAATCTGGAGCTTTTTAGAAATATTTTTTTCCTTGGATTACTAAATCACTATGAACAAGTTTTGATACATGATCTGACATGTAAATCAACTTCTGCTGATCCATTGCTTCCCACGAAATTAGTCATTGAACTTTATGTGAAGATGAAATACAATATGTCCTCTTAATTGAGGGAGGCGATTGCTGTAACTCAACCGGTGAAGCTAGTCATAGTTTTATTCGTAAAATAGCACTCTAAACACCCAATACAAGAAAAAGCAAAAGGTAGTAAAAGTCACTCTATTGGATGGTGATAACTTCCTTTTGAATCCCACCTCCAACTTTTTTCTGCTTTTCTCTTTTAATCTTTGTTTACTGAGATCACATTTGTATTCGTTATATAGCAATGGTATCCTGACCCCATTGTGCGCACCTCAAAGTCACCTTTATATTTTACTTATTATCAGCAATCCAAGTCAAGTGCACACAACCTATATTGCTCGGACTCTCTGAAAATGTCGATGGGTGCATGCCGGGTCGTCCAAAAATAATGCATTTTTTAAGGACCCAACACGGGTACGGCAGCTGTTTTGGAGAGTCTGCGCAACATAGCGCACAACTATGTACCGCATTATCTAGTACCTATTGAACCACATGAAGGAAATAGCAAAGAGCAGACACATGCATGACACCTTCATAACCTACTTCAGATTACACAAGAACTAAGCATTTCCAAGAATAGTTATCCAAGTGGCATAGCATGTTGTTTGACACCTAGGTAATGCAATACAAAAGCGGCCCTCTAAGTGAATGCTTGGCCATGTCCAATGTCTGAGTGTGAGGTAGCTAAATTATACAATTCTTCAGAAGATCTTTCCTTCAACATTGAACTCCTCAAGCTTCGAAAACCAAATTCACAAGGACCAGTGAAAGAAATCATCTTTCCTGAGAACCTACCTATAAATTTTTTAATTTCTTTCTTCACAATTATAAATATAAACCACATAAATGCAACTCGGCAAATGTCAAACTGAACATTTCAAAAGTTACGCGCTTGAGCATATGATTATAAGTGATCAGCTCAAAATAAAGACCAATGTAATTTCTAACATTATTAAGCTGGCCAGTCTCTTACTCAGTACAGCTAAAAACAGTTAGAGGAATATCCACATAAGCCTCCTCACTTACCTGCATAAAGTACTTTTTGGTAGCTCTATATATAATAAAGTACCTGATCATAACCCTCAGCATCAGAGCCCATAACACATTGCATATTTGAAAGACAAGAACCATCATTAACCTGCACATAAACAAAACAGCCAAAAAAATTACAATCTTAAACAAACACATATGCTAAAACCAAAATAAAACAAAACACCAACTCCACGAGTTTCAAGTTATGACATTACATCAATAAACGTAACGCTGCTCTGAGCCCTAACCGTGCGAACCCAACCTCTAACCACCAAAGTCTCCCCCAGGCGGCCCAAACCTTCGTCAGGCCCTCCTTTTATGTCAACAATACTCAACCTTTTTTTAAATTCCCTAACTTGCTCAGTTTTTACACCATCTTTTTGCTCAAATTTGGGTTTTTCAACTGCTTCTCCGGAGGAAATAGCGGCGGAGACTACAGAGCAAAAGCTCCGTCGACGGTAGGGTGCTGGAATTGAGATGGTGCGTAGCTTTAGAGGAAAGGATGAGTAGTAATTGGGGGTTAAGAGTTTAATGGGTTTGCGATAATGAGTGAAGAACCGTACGGTGCAGAAGGGTTTAAGGCGGAGAGTGGTGGCTGGAGACAGAGCACCAGCCATTTTTTCAGCAAGTCTTGTGTATTGCTACATCTGCCACTGGTTTTTTACTAACCCATATCCGGCTATCCGCAAACCCGGGGCGTCTCGGTTATGGGATCCACCCATTTTTATTTTTATTTTTATTTTTTTGTTATTTCATTACAAAGGAAAATTGTGCTTTTAATCCCGTAAACATTGACAAATTTCGATTCTAGTCCTTGTAATTACTGGTTCAGTACATTTTACTTCCACTTAATTAATATGTGTACTTTTGATTCTTGTGAATTTTTATAAATTTTGGCGAATTATTAAACTAAACAAGTTAATGTGTTGTGTTAAATTTTACAATTTTAGTTTATTAAAGATTTGTTACAAGCTTTTTCTTTAATTGCATGGTTATTATAGTTTAGTCCTATTAAACAACTTTGTTGTCAAGATTATGCAGTGTAATATTTTAGGAACTCATAGTCGAGTGACAAAGTCTTGTCATCAGCACGACGATAACTTCAGTAATTATTAGTTGATAAATTTCATCATCATATTTGATTAAATTCAATCGATTCCAAAATTTACTATAAAAGGTTATTATAATAAAATAAAAAAGAGTAGTTGTAATGTATGATCCAAGTAATTTAAAATTAAAATTTGATATTGCATTATCACATTTTGATAAGTTGCATTTCTAGATATTTAAATTATTATAGAAAAAATTATTAGACTGAACAGGTACAATTTAAAAGGACTTAGGATGAAAATAGTTCTCAAAGAGTTGTAGGTCTTAAAAGAAATATGAGAAAATAACAAAAATACCCACTCATGTTCGAGGAATGGTCTAATGTTAAATATGCACCTAACTTAAGCACTTTAGGCTCAATTGTTACTAGAATATACATCATGATCATCTTTGACAAAAATTGTCTTATGAATAGCATGTTAGTTATTTAAATTGGAAAAATATGTTGGTACAAACTTTTATGAATGTGTTTTGCACGATTTGTATGTTAATACTTAAGCCATTTGAATACACCATTCGTTTTATTTTCTATCAATTATATGAACTTGCAAATAAATTAATATTTGTATCTCATTCGAATCCTCGACAATACCCTTAATTATTTAATTTGTAAATTTCATTACTATTAAGGGGAGGGGATGAGAGATCATTTGTTATTATAATCTCATAGTTATGAATATTTCAAGGGTACAAAAATGGAGAAATGAATAATGAGAAGCATGTTCAGATAACTTTTCTTAGCCGTTCATATTTCTCTCGAGTCAATTTTCGTTAAAAATAACTATAGCCATGTATTATACATAAAACAGTAGCACATTTTTCTTTTATTCATAATTATAAAAGATAGTGCTGTAAACATAAAAACTAAAAAATTTCAGGTTGCTTTTGCCTTGTTTTGGTATTGTAGCTTAAAAGCATTTGGTTTAGAAGCACTTTTATGATGTATCCAAACACTCAAAGAAGGCCAAAAGTATTTTTAAGTTGATTTGAGCAGTTTTTAAGCTAATCCAAACACTGTCTTACATTTAGAGGACTATATTGAACCAACTCTCAAAGATGAAGGACTAGTTCTATAATTTTCTGAAAAAATAGCATAGACTCAATTTGAGGAAAGAAAGAGAAGACCGAGCACGACAATGGAAAGCGGCGAAGTGGTAGTGGAAGAGGCCAAGAGGAGATGTAAGGCCCTCAAACATCGAATTTCAACCTTGTCAACTACTACTCAATCCTCATGGAAAACTACCCTTTTAAGGCTAATCAATTCTGAGCTATCTTTCCTCAACCGCGTTAACAGCTCACCTCTCAAACTCAGCACCAACATTGGATATCTCGAATCCGTCGTTCACGTTTTCCAACACCCACTAATAACATCCGTTTCACGAGTCTGCAAACCCATTTCGATTTCATCCAAAGTTCCACAGCAAAGCATTTACGTCGACATAATTTGTTCTTTTAATGGAAACCCAGTTTGGTTCATAGTATCCGACAGAAATCCCAGGTACATTTCTTGGCAAGATTCGGAGAAAACGAAGAATAACAAAGGGTTAAGAAACAGAATTGTTCACCTCATGGTTGCTGCCGAAGAGTCGTGCGTTACAGTGAGGCCTTGTTCTATTATACTTTTCTTCTCAAATGGGCTTCAAAGTTGCATTATTGAGAAGCTGAAATATGAATTTGGAGCTACTACTGATCTGGGGTTTGGATTTTCTGATTTTGATTGTGAGTTTTATGATGATTTAGAGGATGGGGATTGGGTAAGTGTACTAGGAAAGTCTTTTGAAAAGGCATGTGTTTTAGAAATAAAGATTGGTTCTTTTTCTCCTATTAATAAAGATGGACAAATATTAGCAGACCAATCTGGGAATTTAGAGAAGGTGCATATTAAGGATGTTAGCTATGACGTAAATTTGGGTGAATCTTTTATTGCTCTTGTGTCAGCATTGAGGAGTTGGTCCCCTTTTGATGTTGAAGAAGCTGAATTGGTTAATTTTGATACGACAGCACTGGTTGCTATAGTGTCCGGGATTAGTAATGGAGGTATTGATCGGATTCTTGCTACACCAGAGAGTGAGTTGAGGAATCGGTTCAAGGGCAATTATGAGTTCATGATTGGACAGGTGAAATCTCTTTGTTAAAAGTTGGAACCCTTCTGTTGTTCAAGTTTGGAGAGGTTATTTAGTATTTCTCTGTTCGTTTCGATTTTGTTAATAACCAATTGAGTCCTTTATAGAACTAATGTACCCTGGAGACTCCTATGAAAGAGCTAGTGGCTTTACAGCCAGAGATGACATTGGTTGATTCAAAAATTTTATCATGAGGAATGTGCACATCAGTTGCCTCTATAGTGATCGATAGCAAATCCATGTCCCATGCCATTTTTTATTGTTTGCGTTTTCACAAAAATGTACTATCGGATTGGTGGAGTAGCTAGATTTGATCGCGAAGCAAAAGGTCTTTTAAAGTTACATTTTGCAGGAACTGGCAGATTTAAGCTATTGTAAATTGGATATGATTTTAACAGATTTCTACTTCAACTGATGGTTCACATATTTATACAACCTGGAATATATAAGTTTAACAAATTGCTAGTTTTAGCATTCCTTATTTTGGGGAAGTTAATAGTGTGATTCAATCGTTAGGCACTAAACTCGGTACTGAGTTGGAAATGACCAACTGCTTATATTTGAAGTCCTCTTTGTCTTCTGTGAAGAGGAGCCTTGGCGTAACTGGTAAAGTTGCTGCCATGTGACGAAGAGGTCACGGGTTCAAGCTGTGGAAACAACCTCTTGCAGAAATGCAGGGTAAGGCTGTGTACAATATCCTTGCGGTCCGGCCCTTCCCCGGACCCACGCATAGCGGGAGCTTAGTGCATCGGGCTGCCTTTTTTTCTTTCCTCTTTGTTTTCTGTCCTAAAGAAATCACCTTATTATATGAACCATGAACACTCATATATTATTAGCTTACCCACTGTACTTTTGCATTTGGCAACCATTGTAACAACATTTTTTGGTTTATGTTGTACTCGGTTTCCACCAGGTGAATTCTGAAATGGAAAAGCCAATCCACAAGGAGCTGATGCCTGTAATATTGCAAAAGAGAGGCATAATTTGTGAAAGTGTTTGTTCAGAATTTCAGGAGCTTGTTTCAATGTGTGGTGGGCCTAATGAGAAGTCTAGAGCCAAGCACTTTCTGAATCATCTTAGGTGAATTTTTGATAATTTCAGTATGTTTCTTACAACAAGTTTTCTTTGCCTACAACTTTATTGCAAAAATCCTAACATTCAACAGTACATGCTCTGTGGATCCCCACCCCTTTTACCTCCAGAATTAAAAAAAGGAAGAAAGATATGAAGTGCTTGACATCCTCTAAGCTGACATTTTTGTTTTTCTTTCTATGTGAGTTCAAACTTTAGGTAAATTTTGCTAGCTACTTCTCTGCATGATAAACATCATTAGTATAATCCATTATAGAATTTCCTGGCATAGTCCTCTGATCAGTCTGTTACAATTGCGAACCTGAATCTCATGATGGTACATTAGTAAGTTAGTAACACTTGTACCTCAATGAAGGAAAGGGGTACTATTCATTGCAAATACACAATTTAGTATAAAATCTATGTGGATAAGTATATTAAATTTCATGTTTATCCAGACAGCAAGGATATTAATTTGCGGGCATAAATTATGTCACATATTTGTGCGTGGCATAGATTTGATGAGCTTGTCAAGACTTGCACTTGAATTGTTTTCTTCCTCCCCGCTTCTCTTTTTTCTTAAATTTCATTTTACATTTTTATTTGCACCTTGAATTCCATATGCTAATCATTTGATTAACTCAAACAGGGTTGTACCAGATTGCCCGTCAGAACGGCTGATGAGCCTTCCAACAACCAGAAAACTGGCGTTAAAAAACAAGGTTGTTTTTGGGACCGGTGATTACTGGCATGCTCCTACTATAACTGCAAACATGGCATTTGTTAGAGCTGTTTCACAGACAGGAATGTCCCTGTTTACTATAGAGCATAGACCACGAGCCTTGGTTGGCGATTAGTCACCTTGACAATGACATTTTGATCCCAAGCCTGAGGCTCCATATTGGCTTAGTGAAACTTAGCCTAGAATTTCGTCATCTGATAATTTTCTGTTGAAAGAGATGTTGAGATACCCAAGCTTGGCGCTTCGTTTGGACTAAGAAGTTGTGAAACTTGCTTAGCTACTACACTTGTATATATCAGAGTAGTTGATGTTTTATGGGCTTTTGTACAATTCATGCCTTGTATATTGCAGCTGCTTTTGTTAGCTATGATGCTTCTTAAGATAATATGACCCCTCAATTATCTTAATCATTTGCCATCGACATTTAGTTCTTTGCTTCGAAAGTGTCAAGTAGGAGCAAAGGCAGACCTAGGATTTGAAGATCAGGGGTGAACTTTTGGATTCAACTAAAATCTGCTTTGTATATGGGGTACCCACTATTAATATATCACTAATATACATGTATATATGGAACTTTTGCCGAATTTTACGGGTGACAGTGACCCCCTCTCTGTATAGCATAGGTCTGTCTCTGAGTAGGAGCACAACATCAATCCTTAATCTACTCTGGAAGAACAAAACCTAAGCACTAATGAGGGATTTTTTGACATAAATTGCGTCGAGCCAAGTATTAAGCAACATCCAGTGTTTGGTTATGAATATGAATAATAGTGAAACAAACATAAATGATAGTGTGCAGATGAATGTGATAGAATTCTCCAAATGTCCATGGACAAAATCTTCTCACAGACATGTATAGAGATCCCAAAAAATAATAAAATAGAAAAAAAACAGAACTAAAAATCTAAGTAAATAACATGTAGAATACAAAGCAGAAGTTTTTAGAGCTTCAATCCAAACTTACAAGTACTGGCCTTAATTCGGACCAAACTATTAGCAGAGAGGCTGTCAACAATCAGCAAGCAATCTCCCAATATCTTCACCTTTCTTAACTTAAGCTTCCCAAGTTTAACACTAACTGGAACTTTAATCTTAAGATCTAATGGTATTCTTCCAGTTTGTGCTGCCTCTTGAATTGCAGACATCAATGTATTACCATACTGTGATTGCCCAGTTAAGGCCACATCGAGTACTGTTTTATTCTGATGACCTTGATAGAACTTTGGAATAGACCCTTGACATAGCTGTGTATTCTTGTACCACACGCTCAAACGACTTCCTTTCTCATAGTAGATACCAATTTTCTTGTTGGGATTGACAGCGGTGATTCTTACATTAAATCTAGCATATAAGCTCATGTCAAAATTGAGCCTTAAGTCTGATATTCTGAGGTTATCCACAGAGTACTGAGGTATCTTTGGTTTGAAAACAAGGTAAAGAATGCCACCAATTGCTGCAATAATGATAAGTAGGAGTATGATAAGGCTAATTGTCCAGCAAATGCATTTGCAAAAGCAACTTCTCTTCTTATTATGTGGTCTTGGATACATTACAGGAACAGTACGTGTAAATGGCTGGTTAGTTATTGGCTGTTGAAGCTGCGATGGATCGCCTTTTTCTGATTTAAACGAGACTCGTGGCACTAATGGACGTGTTGGTGCTGGTGCTGGTGCTGGTGCTGGTGGTGCTTCCATGTCCACAACTGGATGTATCCTCTGATTTTCTGTCATTGTTGTTACTAACTCAGTACGCTATTTTTTCTGATCAACAACTTATTACAAACTTCTCTGCCTATACAAGTAAGAATCTCTTTCACGTATTGTGCTATATATGCTGTATATATATAAGTTAGAATGCCAATTGTTTCTCCTTTTTTATATAGTTTATTTTAAAGTTTAGTTAATTAAATCGGCCTCTTTCACCTAATAGCAAGAAAATGTAAAGGTAGGTAAGCTATATAACGAGTTTTGACGACAGTGCATTAATGACTCATCTGAATTTTAAGTGGAGAATCAACTCTAACGAATATAACTTCTCGGTTTTAGTTTACCTACAAGTAAGCTAGTCAGCCACGTCAAACTATATCAAGTCGAAACGTATTAATATTGTTACATACTTAAACGTTCATCTATTCACAGAAAAGGGGTTTAAGTGAAATGATTAACTTTGATATCCTTATTTTGTAAGTAGTTAATTCCTAGTTGAAATTATTTGCATTGTGATGGTTAATATCGACTGGGGAAGTTGACATTGCTTTAGTTGACCTAACTTTTTTTTTATAAGGGATCTTTGGTTATGTCTTTCTCCTGCTGTCTAACAAGTTCCTCATCAAGTTTCAACTAGTTAAACTCCTCTTCTTGCTTAAATCATGCTCATTTGCAACTTGTACATCCTATATCATTCATAGTCCATCCTAAGGAAGACTGGTTTTCAAGAAAGATTTATAAAAAAGGACAGTCAAATTATGCAGATAAACTAGAGCTAACACTAAAAACACAAAGTATTTAAGAACTTGACCATCTATAATCTAAAGATCTTGTCTGCTCTAACAAAATTATATACAAAAAGAACACCTTTTCCAGCTGCATAGCTACCCAAAAGTAGTCAGACGAACCCTGCCAACCTCTTGCCGAGTCAGAGGGAAGGGGAAAAGAGAATACAGAAAAAGGAAGTGAACAAGTTAAAAGGAGGCTGACAAAGAGCTTTATGAACACTCTCAATAACACTAAGAGCACGGGTCAGTCTTGATGAAAAGTTTCAGAAATTACAAAGATTACGCAGAGTCATTTCCTCCATCTTCCGACTCTGCAGCACCAAGTAACACTTTATTAGGGAAAAGGGGAAAAAAACCATGATTACATACAATGAAGCAGTCCAGATATGTCACAGCAGGAAATTTGACACTCCAAATAATTAAAAGGAGAGGCAGATTTGGCAAGTGAAACAGAGTACTTCCACATGAACTTCCTAATGAACAAATTCATCTCTCATACAGGCACATACCATGTATTGCTTCCATGTTGTCTTCTTTGTAAACACCAAGAGGAGAGCCGTGGACAGATAGAAGCATTTCCCCAGGCTTAGGCAGCCTTAAAGTTTTGGGAGTCATCCCAACAGACAATCTGTTACTATATGCCTGTAGTCAAAAGAATTATTACTCTATCAATATGGCCTCTAGCACACAACACTGGCGAAGACATCGATAGAAAATTGCGTGCAACTTTGGAACAAAATTAGCTTCATTGAACCATCACACACTTACATAAGAAATGAAACAACAACAACAACCACCCAGTAAAATCCCACTAGTGGGGTCTGGGGAGGGCAGTGTGTACGCAGACCTTACCCCTACTCCGAAGGAGTAGAGAGGCTGTTTCCGGGGAAAAAAAGAAGAAGGAAATCGCAAGAGAGTACCTAGAGGTTTAGTCATCTAGTAATGCCACTAGTTCATAACATTGTTCCTAAAGCATAATAAACTAAGTAAAGATGAAGCTTAGTGGTATATCGCAAGAGAGTACCTAGAGGTTTAGTCATCCAGATAGAGAAATAAGAAAGGAAGGAAATATAATGCTTCATACATCCCATTATTTAGATGTTTCTTTAGAATGAAACGAACAAAATCAACCGGTAAGTTGAGAAAATGATATCACAAACAAGTAATAACAACAAAGTGCACAGAAATCATACACCAGGTGTCTGAATAGTATCCGCCAGCTCAAGCATTTGGGTATCAGATGGCTCTTCCAAGACCTTCACAGAAAAAAAAAAGATAGCAAATAAGGAACAAAGAAGAATAAGCAAGTGTTGAAATCATCTCGAGGGCACATCAACTTCCAAATCTTAAATGCAAGAGTTTAGCCAGCCCAAAATAGGAACATCAGTGCAACCTAAGTTACTCGAAATGTGGTAGTGCAAAATGAATTGCACAATGACATAAACCGCAGGAAATAGTGGAATGAACTGCAATAGAACATACAAATCCCTTGATCTGCAGGTTTTCGGCACCACAAAAGGCTGTTTTAACTGCCAAAATGTAGTTGAATTAAGTCAGAAGAAATAAACTAGAGTGTCTAGATATATCATATAAGGATGGCCAAAAAGAGATTTAAAGATACCAGATTTATTTGAGAATTCAAATCCACCAAATAATGGCATGGCACTGGAGCAATCAGGATACACTGTGGACAGTTTATGAAGAAGAGAAGTATGTAGATTCCTTCCATCAAACTGGTCCATGCTTAAATTACCATCATCGTCTTTCCATTGCACTTCATATTGGTCATGTTTCTCCTTCCTTACAATAGCCAGGTTTGGAAAATTTTCCTCAAAAAATTGCATTACTGGAAGTTGAAGTTGTTCATTACTAAAATTTGATCGTAGCAATCGCATCATAGTTCGTAACTGTTCAATCTCCACATCACGAATAGCCCTGATAGCAGCACTTTGACGTTCAGCTGAAAAATAGATAGTGATTCAGTAACAATAAGGTGAATGATATTTGCTGAGATACAATCATGATGGTAATGAGAAAATTAAAATTCATTAGGGACAAAACAGAACCATGTTTAAGCACTTCGTAGTTACATTCTTTCAAATATCATCTGATATCCACTTTTTTCACTTCAAAAATTCCAACTCAAACACAGACTAGAAATATTTTCCTTCTACATTTAGCTTTTCTTAATTCATCTTCAGTTTTCATAACCTTCTCTTACGTTCAAAAAGCATCACATAAATGGCAGGTATTAGACCAAGCAAATTGATATATTTTACCTCTTTCTTCAGCTTGCAGGAAAAGAAATAACAGAACCAATTAGTCACACAGAGCACTTATTTGATGAAATCAACCAAAATAATACGAAAATGGATAAAAGATGTGTATTTTGTGATATAGCTTCACTCATACGACTTGCAACCAAGCAAAATAATATTTCCTGCTTCAGGATTTCTGCAGCCCAATTAATAATTGCAGCTGTTGTTCTTGCCTTGTTTCCTCTCACAAAATTTCCTTTTTCAAAAAACAACCAACATACTTTTTCTTCCAAATGTTAAAACAAACAAACATTTGCACAATAAAAATGATACCTTCCTGCTTGAATATATCATCTTCCTTTTCCACTTGATGTTCCTCTTGATTAGCATCCTTTTCAACCTCCCTTTTTGCGCGAGGTTTTCCTCTCCGCCTTGGCATGGAGATATACAAATTCTCTGAAAACATAATAATTTACTAGATAATCATGCATACACTTGTATGAGTAGTTTTCGTAATTAGCAAAAACATGTTTAAACTAAGGCAGTCTGGCAAAGAGAATGATCAAATTAACCCTATGCTTGAGTTATTAGCCAATGAGTTTATCATTTCTTTGTCCTTGCTAGTAGATTAAATATAAAGTACTTCCTACCAGTTTTCCTGGCACAATGTCACTCCCAAGGATCAATTTGTTCTTACTGACTAAGAAGAAAATGATACATGTACCCTATTTGTCGCAATAAAATAAATAGAAAACATAAAAATATATCTCATCAATAATTCATTCAAAGCTTTGCCTTTTTCATTGGTATGAGGAAATATCTCACGCTTGTACTTGGTTCACTCCATTCTCTGAAATTCATACTCTTCGTGAAGTAACATTAATTTATTTAGAGATATATACTATCAAGTGGCGGAAATGAAAGTAGCAGAAACGAGGATGCTGAGATGGATGTGCAGGCATACCAGGTGGGATAAGATTAGGAAGGAAAATATTCGGGTAAAGGTGTGCGTGGCCTCCATGAGGATAAGATGCAGGAAGCGAGGTTTAGATGGTTCGGACATCTGAAGAGGAGAAACTCAGATACCCCAATAAGGAGGTGTGAGCGGTTGGCTTTGGTGAGCATGAGAAGAAGTAGAGGGAGGCCAAGGAAGTATTGGGGAGAGGTGATCCGACAGGACATGGTGCAGCTGCATCTTACCGAGGACATGACCCTTGATAGGAGGGCGTGGAGGTCGAGAATTAGGGTCGAAGGTTAGTAGGTAATCGAACGTATTTATGATCAATACCAGGGTTATAGGGTTAGCCTGATAGTTTTTTTCTCCTGTTCTTAGATTGCTAATTTTACACGTTGTTTTCCTATTAATATCGTGTTGCGGTCCACGATTGTTGTTATTGCTTCCTTCCATCTATTTTCTGGCTATTAGTTTGTTGTTATTATCTTTCTGGCGTTTGTTGTTGATATTGCTTGTTTCTACTGTTTCTTTCCATCTTTCCTGAGCCGAAGACTTATCCGGGCTCTGTAGGTGTAAGGTTTGCGTATACATGACCTTCCCAGACCCCACTTGTAGGACTTCACTAGGTTTGTTGTTGTTGTATACTGTCAAGTGGGTGGTCTAATATTACCCTTACTCAACGGCCCATGTGAAAAGAATGATTTAGATATTTGACATTTTAAACTAATATTTTCCAAAAGTTCACACTTTTACATGCCTTAGAAACTTAAAACAGTTGCTGAGGAACTTAGAAGGATTTGGTAAAATGAGTCGAAGATAATTGACCTACAACTCCCAATAACGATAGATTTTCATCTTTTATGGTTTTTTACTCAAAATTCTTTTCCTAAAAGAGAAAATTTTCAGAAAAATTGATGACTAATACTCAAATGCATATCATATCAGCACAACCCTACAAAATAGAGCCAAAAATAAAGCAAGCAAGAGAAGATGTTACCATGTAAAGATTACTAAAGAGGAAGG